GCAAAAGCGGTGAACCCAATTTTGGTTTTCCCGCGGTCCCAGGCCCGCTCGACGGGCCTCAAAGGCGCGGGCCCGCTGGGCCCCCATCCTCCTAGGACCCTGATCCTCGAAGTTCGAAGCTCGATCCTCGATCCCTCGAGAACCCTGTCGATCCTCGATCCCCCTCGAACCTCGGTCCTCGATCCTTCGAACCTCGATCCTCGATTCCTCGATCGTTGATCCTCGAAGCTCGGGGCGGCCGAGGCCGCTCGCTCTCTCTCGGTCGCTCTCTCCGTCACGGTCATGCCGTCGACGGCGGGCGGGCGGGGGCGGGCAGCCGAGCGGGGCGGCGCGACACGACCTCTCTCGCCCCCCATCTCCTCCCCCCCTTGCACCCCCTCCCCCTCCTTCACCTAAGTGGAAAAAAAAACATCAGAATTCTAAGGTTTCGACCCGCCCCCAGGGTTTTCGGGCGCTGTTTGCCTTTTTTTCGGGTCCCTGCAGGGGGTGCTCGTCGTCGCCACGGCTGGATCCGCCTCGAAATCCTGCTCAAATGTTAGCTAGCGTGACCCCGAACTGTGAGTTATTGCATTGTGGAGGTGAAAGCGATGCGGTGTAAGCTATGTGGTATAAGCTATGTTGTGCAAGCTATGCGGTGTGAGCTTTGTGGTGAAAGCGATGCGGTGCAAGCTATGAGGAGCAAACCCACCCGCTTTGCTCTCGGCTTGCACGGATAGTACATTGGTGCACGCGGACGGCACACGGGCACCTCCCCCCTTCGTCGTCGTCGGCGTCGTCGGCGTCGGCGACGGCGACGGCGACGATGATGACGACGTGGAGGCCCCGAGAGGGCCCAAACCATCGGACGTTAAGTAGGTTAGCGGCAATTTGCTAACCTGGTTAGCCGAAGTAGGCTAAGTGGATAACCTGGTTAGGCGAAAACGGATAGCCAACATAGGATAACCTGTATGCAACTGACTTAGTTAACCTACTTATACGAGCACAGTGTAACCAATGTACTATCCGCGCTAACCGAGAGCAAAGCAGGGCGACGATCGCAGCAGAGGAGCCCAGAGCGGCCTCCGGCACCGTTTCCGGACAGATCCGGCGGATCAAGTGGATCCGCCGACGAATCCCAAACCGGCGCCCTCGCTTGAGACATCCTCACAAAACCGGCCCCGGGGGAGGTGCCCAGAGGAGCCCAGAGCGGCCTCCGGCACCGTTTCCGGACAGATCCAGTGGCTCCGCCGACGAATCCCAAACCGGCGCCCTCGCTTGAGACATCCTCACAAAACCGGCCCCGGGGGAGGTGCCCAGAGGAGCCCAGAGCGGCCTCCGGCACCGTTTCCCGACAGATCCGCTGGATCCGGTGGATCCGCCGACGAATCCCAAATCGGCGCCCTCGCTTGAGACATCCTCACAAAACCAGCCCCGGGGGAGGTGCCCAGAGGAGCCCAGAGCGGCCTCCGGCACCGTTTCCGGCTGGATCCGGTGGATCCGCCGACGAATCCCAAACCGGCCCCGGGGGAGGTGCCCATGGAGCCCAGAGCGGCCTCCGGCACCGTTTCCGGACAGATCCGCTGGATCCGGTGGCTCCGCCGACGAATCCCAAACCGGCGCCCTCGCTTGAGACATCCTCTGAGAGTCCGCCCAGGCGGGCGGGGATCGATGATAAGGATGCTTTAATACCCTTGATCCTAAAAGGGCGCCCTGTGTACGCGTGCGCTGCTGCAACAATCAAGATAAACACAAATACTACACACGCACGCCTGCTAAATCCCTTAATCTCTGACACCCCTCCGTGACCATCGAGGCTTGTCCTCGTCGGGCACAATCTTGGAAGGCGGGGGAATCGGAGACCAAAAAGGTGGCGGACCTTTGTCCGGACCCCAAAAACAGTGCGGGGGCTAAGCTTCATTAGACAGATGGGAAAACAAATGATATAATGAAATCCACTGCCTTCAATAGGAAAATCTCCAAAAATCGGCAGAGCGGTGCCTAAACAGGCGTGCAAATATGGAACTATGAAACCACAGGGCATAAACAATATGGATGCAAACCAAACGGTACGAGGGAGAGGAGGCAGAGGAGGAGAAGGGGGGAAACGAAAACCGGAGGACTACCCCTCCGCATTGCCAGGCCGGGCCTTGCGGGCTCGGCGCGCCTCGCCTGCCGCTGCCTTAGCAGCGAGCATCTCCTTCGTCTGCGCTAAACACCAGCGGCCCTCAGACAGCCGCTCTAGCAAGAAACTCCTCTCGGCCTCGGCCTTCGTCAAAGAGTCCGCGATCATCAGCTTCGTGTCGATCCACCTGACACGTATCCTCCAGTCATATCCCTCTCGCTCCTGCTTCAGCATGTCATGGCCGAGCAGCTGTCGGATCTGGGCCATCAGGATCCGCACTCGCTTGTCAGCGGGCTGACCACCATCCTTCTCCAGGGAGGTGACAAGGCCATTCGCGTCCGTCAGCAGTAGCAGATGCTTGCCATCGAAAAACGGGTCGAACTGGTAGGATGAGTAGCCGGGGTCGGATATCTCGGCAATCACGTGCTTGAGGAACTCCGCACTCTCAGCTGTCGTCAAGAAACCGTTGCATTCAGCCGCTAGCGATCCACGAACCACTCGCTTGATCGTCGCGCTAGCCCATTCCAGTGGATGTATGATCGCGGTGGCGTCCGTCTCGAGGTCGGGCGACGCCATGCCGATGATATAGCCGCACTGCGACTTGACCTTCTCTCCTAGCGTAAGGTCGTCAATGTTGCCATGGCTGCTGTCCCCGCAGCCGAACACAATGGCACTGTCCCAGTCCAGGCGGGATGAAAAAATCAGCTTGAAATCAACGTCGCCCTTAGCCATCTTGATGGCACGATTCACTGCAACAATGTCACGAATCTTGGGGCCACTCATGGCCTGAGCCCCAAGTGAAGCGCGGACGGCCAGGTCGGGGCGCGTCTGCCGTGCTACCCAGCCAAGCGACCCAACACCGCTACGGAGGGCAGAAATCTCCTCCGGGGTGAGTGGCGCATTGGGCTTGCGCCGGCGGTGCGGCTCGAGGGTGATGTACTCCAGCGCCTCGACCGTGGCGGCCTGTCCGATCTTGATGTCGAAAGTCTGGTTGTCCTGCTCCACGACCTTGCCACAGTACCTGAACGTGTCGGACTGGAAGGAAAGGCGAATCTTGTCCTTGATGATCTCCATCACGCGCTCGAACTGCTCGCCCGCGCCCGCGACGAAGGGGTCGTCGACGTGCGTGCACAGCAAGCCGTTGAGCTTGCCCTTGCTGTCCCTGAGCATGAACATACAGGGCTCGTAGATGGACTCGCGCCAACCCTGCTCCACGAGGATGGCGCGCACATGCAGCCACCACTGCCTGCCCGCGTCCTTGATGCCGTAGATTGCGCCGCGGGCGCGCATGTAGGACCCCTCCGGAACTCCAGGTGGTGGAGGACGAGGGGCTCGGAGAAGCAGGATGCGCTCAATGCCCTTGGACTGCAGGTAGGCCGTCGCAGCGTCAGCTGCCCTTATCTGCCACCGGTGGGAGGCAGCGTAGCTGGCGACCAGGTGGAAAGCCAAAAGGCTAGCAGTAGGAGCGTCGCCTCGGATATCATCTCCTCGTTCCTGGCAGCCCTGCACGACGAGCCGACTCTTGGCAGCGAGCGGGATGTCGTCATAGGTCTGCTTGAGGTTGCGCTTCTTAGCGTTCTTGTCCGTGTGGACCCGGCGCGTCCCAACTGGGGAAGCACCCCTGTCGAGGAGCTCCTTGGCCTGGCTAAAGCTCAGCACCTCGACGGCCTGGAACTCAGTCCAGCTGCGCCACTCCTTGGCCATAGCCTGATCGAACTCCTTCCTCTGCTCTGGGGCGAGGTCTTGAAGTCTGATCTCGGAGCGGACCGCGCCCTTGGTCAGATAGGCGAACTCGACTGTGTCGTTCGTGCCCACGTCCTCGTCGGCGTGAACGAAGATGGCCTCGACCGCGGTGGTGCCACCAGGCAGAAGCCGACGAAGGCGAGCATCGTGAAGAGCAAGACCTCTGACGTCGATGTCATCGATCACGATGCCTGTCTTGATGTCTCTGGTGATGCGGCGAAGCACCTTGGACCAGCGAGGGCCACGCTTGTCCGTAGTGATGAACTTCTTGATGCCGTAGTCGGTGCGACGCCACTCGTAGGCGACAGCCAGGTCCGGCTTGTAGTCGCTGGTGAGGAACACTTCGTGGAGGGCGTCCTCCATGACGCTGAGCTCCTCCTCCACGTAGCCCTGGAAGGTACGAGGCTTCTTGATGGAACCCCGATCCAGACGCTCCGGATCGCGCATGGCTCTGTCCAGCTGGGTAAGTGACAGGCCTCCGCGCTTCTCCCCGCGCTCCAGGCCCACGCCCATCTCGTCGTCCGGCACCGGCTTGTCGACAGCCTCGTCATCCGGGGGCACCGGCTTGTCGATAGCCTCCTGAGATACTCGAGGATCGATCCGATGACCTTGACCTTCGGAATGAATGCTGGGCTCGCCTGGGCCGTACGAGCGTGGCGGCCCCTCTGCCTCTGGTAGCCCCGGGCGTGGTGGCTCAGGGACCACAGGAGGTGGCTGATGCTGAGCTGGCGGTGGTAGTAGTGCGTCGTCGGTCTCCTGAATGATTGGAGATGCTTGTTGTGGTACTTCGTGTGCCGGCGGTGGAGGATCGACCCGCTGCCGTGGTAGATGGTCCTCGGTGTTGAACTCGTCGAAATCGTAATTTACGTCAGGTCCTGGTCCGGCAGATCCGAGCGCGCCCCCAACCACCCCTCCGTGACCAGCCGCGTGCCGTTGCGGCCTGGGCATCGGGGCGGGCGAGGCTGCTGCTGCATCGGCCCGGATGTCGATGTAGTGCCTGGCCCCCTTCAGTGACCGAAGGGACAACAGGTCTGGGTTCACGTAGGTGTGCATGGCGAGCAGCTCGTCCTCGGAGGCGAACCTGAGCGACTCAGGAGCTGCGAGCACGGTAGTGTGTCCGTAGCGCAGCCACACTGCATGGGCCAGTGTGCCGACGGGCTCGTCCGCGTCGCGAGAGAGGTGACGTGGGTCACGCACCTCATGCCCGATAACTCGGGCTGGCCCAAACCAGCGGTGCGTGACCTCGGGGCTCTCGCCGACTCGGGTCTGCGACCGGCGGAAGTACACGATGGCCCCAATGTTGAAAGGGCCTCGGCTAGGCCGCGCCTTGCGCAGGATGGCGCGATTGACGCGGTCGTCGGAGTCGAGGCGGACGTGCGCGATGCGGGCCGCCTCGCGCAGGGCCATGGCGCGGGCCATGGCAGACTGGGGGTCGAGCGACGCCTCGATGACCTCCAACCGCTGCGCCTCGTCGTCTTGTAGGAGGCTTCCTGGGACACGGGGCCCATGAGACCCCAAGACCCACTGCGAAGGGGAGAACCCCCCGCGTCGGCCCAGCTCGTTCTTGACCTGGGTCACGATGGAGGCAGTCTCCTCGACGTCGCCCAGTCCTGTGACCTGCGAGTCGGCGACAGTACGTCGCCAGATCTCCTTCCAAATGCCCCCGCGGCGCTCGCACTTGCCGATGAGGTGCGGCGTCTCCAACGGGGCCAGGTCGACCTGCACGCCATGCGCCTTCGCGTTGGAGGCGAAATCCTTCATCCACTCCGTGCCCAGGTCCACCGTGAGCTTCTCTGGGTAGCCAGCCCACGGAGTCCAGCTGGTAGTGAACGCCTTGGTAGTAGCACGTGCTGTCGGTGATCCACGAGCCGGGCCCATGCAGTACACGACTTGAAAGTTCGTCCCCTCGCAGATACAGTTCATAAAGAAGTAGGGTGTCCCGGCGGCGTCGTAGGCGTGGAAGGTGTCCAGCTGGATGGCGTAGTTGAACACGCACTGACCTGGCAACCGCGAAGGTCGTGGGGCGCGCCGACGGACGGCGTCGCCACAGGCGTCGCCGGAAAAGAACTCCACGTATTTCAGCACCTCCGGCTTGACTCCTCGGCGCCTTAGCAGCCTGGTCAGCGTCACGTTCGAACAGTGGTGGAAGTTAACGTAGAGCTGGCGGATGGCCTTCCTGACCTCTGGCGGGGCCTCCAGCCATCGCCTGCGCCGCTCGGCCTCCTTGGTGTTGGTGATGGGGCCGAGCTGAGCGGCCTCTCGGGCTCGCTCGCCGTCGGGATCAACGGCTGGCGGAGGTGGTGGCTCCCCCACAGCTTCTTGATCAGCTGGAGGAGGAGCAGGCTCAGGCACGTTCGGGTCAGGCGGTGGCGCTGGCTGCGCCATGGCTGCCCGGTACGGGTGCCCCCGCAGTCTGGTCCGTCGTCGTAGTCGAACCGGCCCACGAAGGTCTGGACCGTCCTCTGCAGGGAACTGCCAGTCGGTGTCCGCGGCGTTGTCGACGATGGCCTGCTGTACGATGCTGCGGGCGACGATGTGGTTGAGCTCCTCCGGCCACTGAGCCGCTTGCAGGGTGCGCGGCCCGAACTTGTTGCGGCCCTTTAGCTGCTCGTGCTGGGTGCAGCTACACTTCTTGTCGGAAAGGGCCTCGACCAGCGTGTCCATAGTGGCATTGATCATCATGGGCTTGCGGTGAGCCAAGCCTGACTCAGCATCGTGGCACCCAACCTGGCAGCCGTCGAAGGTAACCTTCCTCGGGATGCCCTTGTCCAGGAGAGAACGAATCCTTGACATCTCCGGCTGGTCGAAGGCCTCGGAGCCCTGGGGGTGCTCCAGCGCCACGTGGAAGCCCCTCCGCACTCGGCTGTCCACTGAGGAGCCCACCTGCCTGAGAATGGGGCGGTTCGCCTCGCGCTTGGCCAAGATCTTCCTCTCGGTCTCCGGGCAACGGGCCATGTTGAATCTGCTCCAGTTGCCCCACGGCGAGCAGGGGTGCGAGACCACGAGGCAGTACGGCTCCTCGTTGGTGATCTCCGCGTCGTACCTCTGCCTGCCCAGCCTGGTGGTAGCGTCCCAACCCGTGTGCTTGTCCAGTGGGACGCCGACCGAGAGGCCCATTGCGGCCATGAGCACTGTCAAACCCATCTGGCCATCGTAGGTCTGCTTGACCCATGTCCTGGCACCTGCGGGCAGCCGGGCCCTGGGCGGATGCTTCTCCACGACGGCCTGCACCACCTCATCCTGCACGGCAATGGCATGCAGGGAATGCTCGAGCTTCTTGGACTTCTTGTTGGTGAGGTTGCGCTTGCCGCCCCACTCGATCGCCTCGGCGGCGAAGACGTCCGGTCCGTAGTCGTGGTCGACGACCGTCTGGAGGCACTCGTCGTCCGTAGTCTCGCCGATCTCGATGTCCAGGAAGCTGGGGAGAGGCTCAACTGAGCTCTCCTCGACGTAGGTGATGCCGACGTGGAACTTCTCGGGGTAGTACTCGAGGTGGTGATCCTCGGGCATCGTCAGCGCCGCCCACTCGGCCGTCTCGTAGCTCTCGTTCGGCAGGTCAAGGAGGTTGACCGCCGGGTGGCCCACCTTAGTGTGGTGGAGCTTCAGGTTGTAGACCCCAATGTTGACAAAGTCGGCGACATCGCCCTCCGTGGAAAGCCGCATGCTCAGCCCAAGCTTGGTGAGCATGTCTCTGCTGAGCAGCATCGGGCAGTCGCCCGGCACCTCACACGACAGAATCTCGCCACACTTTCCTCCAATGCCCACGGGAAAACGGACCGCCGTGGTGCTCCTCGTGCGGCTGCCGATCCCTCTGAATGTACGAGAGGTCGGGGTCTTCACTACCTGTAGACCGCGCCTCGCGAGCTTACGCTCGAAGGCTGCCCGCCACGACTCACCTTGCATGGTACGCGTGCACCCAGTGTCGATGATGGCGAGCATGGCGTCGGCGTCGCTGTCGCGCGCTGAGAAGGCATTGCCGGTAGTGGCGGCCATGACCGAGCACTCGTAGGTAGAGATGACGCCCGGCTGATGGATGTTGGGCTGAATCGGGATGGTGAAGCCGCCGGCGTTGACCTCCATCCAATCGTTGTCGGCGGGGAGCCTCCTCTTGTCGCCGTCGATCATCTGCTGCGGGGCAACGTTGAACTTGCCACGCGCGATCTTCACCATAGCGTAGAGGAAATACGCGTAGCGGTACAAGTGGAGGTTGATCTCCTCCGCCTCGGGGCCCAAGACCTGGTCCAGAGCCCACTTGTTGTACCAGATGAGTGCCGGGTCGGACGCCGCATCCTGGAAGGTTCGCCCCTTGTGCGTGCCGAAGTTGATGACCTCCGCTGGGTACGGGACCGGGTTGAGCTGGTCGACGCCGTCGAGATCCGGGAACTCCACCAGCTCGATGCTCTGGTGAAGCGGGATGCCGTACAGGAAGGCCAGCTCCGGCCCCGGCTTCGGCTCGGGGTCGCCCTGGGTCAAGTCGACCTTGATGATGCGCTTCTCGGGTGTAGGTGGCGCGGCCGGTGCTGATCCAGTAGCACTCGGCCTCGCAGAACTGGCCGCAGATGCGGCCGCCGGTGTAGGTGCACGTGGTCCGTCGCCTCTTGCAGGCAGTCGGCCGAATAGCCGCTGCTTGCCGGAAAGGCGTCGCGCTGCGGGCGCCGCCGTCCGCCTCCGATACGTAGATGGGAGTCGACCCTGGACCATCAGGGCGTCGGCCACCAGGGCAATCCGCCTCGCGAACTCCTTGCGGGACAGGAAGCGGCCCCACTTCGTGCCCATCAGGGCCTTCATGAAGTAGCTCCACGGCTCGAACCCTTTTTTGCGGTGGGCGAGCGTGAAGTGGCGGTCGCACTCCCTGCATGTTATGTACTGGTGGTCTTGTTGGCGCCGCGGACGACCTTCTCGCAGGCGTCGTCGGCCACGTGCTCGCAGACGTGCTCCATCTCGCCCTTCAGAACCATGAAGACCTCGGACGGCTCGCCGTCGTCGTCGTTGTCCCCGTGCTCCTCGAGCGTGAAGTAGTTCTGAGCGGGCTTCTTCGCTGGAGACACTGATGTAAGCTTCCGGCTCGACCAACGGGGGCAAACGTCATCGCCCTGCCAATGCCCGAACTGGTGGCAGTCTGAGCACTGGGTCCGCTTCTTCAGGTTGGCGATGCGCTGTCGGCGAGCATCTCGCTGTCGGTCGTCGTAGCCAGGGACAGCACTACTCGAACTGCTGCTGCCTCCTCGCCCTGCGGGCGACCTGGTTGTCAATCCCTTGCCGCCTCCCCGGCGGCCTCCCCTTCCACCGGCCTTGCCACGACCGTGGAAGCTCGAAGTCACTCGCCTAGGCGGCTTCTTCTTGTTGAAGATCTTGTTGCGGCTCTGCAGAACGAGGGCGAGGGCCTCTGCCTCCTCGGTGCCAAGCTCGTCGAGGTTCTCCGCGACGTAGTTCTCGATGTCGAACTCGTCGTCCTCGCCGTGCTCGTAGTCGTCCTCCTCGCCCTGGTAGTAGCCGTCCTCGTCCTCGTCCTCGTAATAGATGTGATCGAGCTCTGACTGGTTCTCGTCTTGCTCCGACGCGGCGTAAGCGTAGGCGGATCGCTCTCGGCGATCAGCGCGTCGGTCCTGATGTCGATGTACCGCTGGGTACTGAGCCCGCAGTGCATACTCGATGCCGGCTAGCTTGTACTCGTTCTTGTTGGAGGCGAGGACTGCGGCTTGCTCCTTCATGCTGATGCCGCAGAATCTGAGGATCAGTGCGGCCTGGATATCCTCTGAGATCGTAGTCGTGGCGCTGACCTCCTGCAACTCTGCGAACTCCTTTCGCCTCCTTGTCACGTAGTTGGCCATGGACTCGTTGCGGTCGCGCCAGACCGATGATCCGTACAAAGCCTTGTCGAAAATCTCGGTGCTTCGGACGGGCGCTATATCTTGAACTTCTTTCTTCAACGTCGTGAGGAAAAGAGTGAGCCCGTCCTGCCTTGATTCTCCAGACTCATCAGTAGCTATCAGCTCCTCATGCTTGAGCTTGCGCACTGCTTCGTAGGCTGGACCAGAAAGGCCTGATCGTAGATGCAGCGCTGTCGCGGCCTGCTTAGACTTCTCGCCAGTCCTGCCATGATAGAGATCCCAGGCTCGCTCTTCGTATTCATTGAAATACTCTGGCTGGCCTGCATACTGAGGGACTCCATTCCTGTCCAGCTCGATGGACATCTTCTTCGTGAGGATGGGAATGATCAGCAGCAGCAGCGTTGTTACACAGGATGGTGCCCTCGGCCGGCTCGGCGGAGGGCTCGTCGTCGTGGGCTGACACGACTGCCGAGGTGGTGACCGCGGCGGCGGAGAGGAGGTGCGGCGACCTCTGGCGGCGGCTGCGGCCGTCGCCTGCCGCGGGGCGCCCGGGCGCGGCGGCCCAGCCCAGCGGCCTATGATGCGCAGGTCCCGGAGCTATCACGCTCCGCTTACCATGAGAGTCCGCCCAGGCGGGCGGGGATCGATGATAAGGATGCTTTAATACCCTTGATCCTAAAAGGGCGCCCTGTGTACGCGTGCGCTGCTGCAACAATCAAGATAAACACAGATACTACACACGCACGCCTGCTAAATCCCTGAATCTCTGACATCCTCACAAAACCGGCCCCAAGGGAGGTGCCCAGAGGAGCCCAGAGCGGCCTCCGGCACCGTTTCCAGACAGATCCGGACAGATCCAGTGGATCCGCGCCCCGGGGGAGGTGCCCAGAGGAGGAATGAGGAGGAGGAGGAGGAGGAGGAGGAGGAGGAGGAGGAGGAGAAGATGATGGAGCTGTGGGGTGGAGGAGGACAGACGGAGGCAAGAGAAGGATGGAGGAGGAGGAGGAGGAGGAGGAGGAGGAGGAGGAACCTCATCCTCACCCTCGCCAACAAGCGCACGCACCTTCTTCTATCTACAGAAACTCCCGATCAACCGCAGAGCGGCCGGCTAGTATTGAGGAACCTCATCCTCACCCTCGCCAACAAGCGCACGCACCTTCTTCTATCTACAGAAACTCCCGATCAACCGCAGAGCGGCCGGCTAGTATTATTCATCTTATTCCTTCGCCTCCTCCTCCTCCTCCTCCCTCCTCCTCCTACCTACCTTACCCCTTCCTCCACCCCATCCTCCTCCCCCCCCTCCTCCTCCTCCTCCCTCCTCCTCCGCCTCCTCCTCCTCCTCCTCCTCCTCCTCCTCCTCCTCCTCCTGCTCCGCCTCTTCCTCCTCCTCCCCCACCTCCAGCTCCTCCTCCTATGCCTATCCCCCCCCCATCGTTGCCCCCGCTTCCCCCCTCGCTCGCCGCCGAACCACCAACCGGCGCGGGGAGGCCCAGGCGGTGTCCTCCCGGCGGCGTGGCCCCCTGGGCGACTGCACCGCGGGCGGCACGGGCCGTCACCACGGGCTCCGCACCGACGGCGCCGAGGGTGCGATGCTGAACGAAGGAACGAACGAACGGACGAGCGAACGAGGAAGGAGGAACGAACCAACGAACGAACGAACGAACGAACGAACGAACGAACGCCGAGGGTGCGCCGTGGGGGAGGTCGAAGAACGAACGAACGGACGGACAAACAAACGAACGACGCGCGGAGACGTGCCGCTGGGGCGGGCCGGGCCGCTACCGCCTGCGCAGGAGGCCGTAGCCTCCGAGGTCGAAGAGAGGGCCTCCACTGGGCCGCGCTGGGCCGTCACCAACTGCCTACCGTGCGCCAGGCCGTCACCGGCCGCGCTGGTGGGGGAGATCGAGGAGTCCAAGGCCAACGTCGAGGTCTCTGGTGGGCGAGCACTCGCTTGTGTATCATACGCCGGTGTGCTCCGAGGGAGCAAGAGATCCACGCTTCGCGTGGCACGAAATGCTGTGTTGTTCTTATACGCCTGTGCCCCTTGGGGATTGCGGCGTTGTCTGTCGTCTGGTCAGCCGTCGGGCCGTTGGCCCCCAGGCCGCAGAGGGCCCTTCTCTCGCGCACCTGGGCAGGCGCAGGGTTGCCAGCCGCAGGCGCGCGACGTCAGGAGACAACCGGTCATCTACCTTCTGGGCCTCCCATCGCTCCCGAAGCGCATGGCCACCAGGTGCGACGAGGATTCGGGCATGCCAAGCCTTGGCCGCTGCCGCCTGCTGCCCCTCCCCGCGCGAGACGTCCCCTGCCCGCAGCTCGTGGACCTCCTCGGCCGGGTGTGGCACCCCTGGTGGCGGAGGGCGACGCTTTGCTGTCCTCCGAGCCTGCTCCAGGAAGTTCACCCAGCCCTTGGCGCGCAGCAGCCCCTGCAGGAACTGCGTGGCCGGCGGCATCCGCCAGTCAAAGAGCAGGTAGTTCAGCCCGCTCTGCCTCCCCGCGGAGGCTTCGGGCGAGGCTCTCGGACTGTTTTTTGCTGCTTCTCGGGAGCTCTCGAGCCTCGAGGCGCCTTCCAGCAGCTGCGCCTCGCCGAGAGCGTTCTGGGGGGGCCCGGCTCGTCCCGAACGGCCGCCGGAGGCCCGAGTGACGACGCGAAAAAACCAGGCCTCCCCGCGGCGTCACCAAAAATATAACGCGACGGGATGTCTTGTGGACCATTTTCGGCCCCTTAGGAGGTCTCACAGGGCCGCGGGACCGTCAGAAAGCGACCGGGGACGAGAAGCTGGTCCCTGAAAAGGGGTCCGGGCCTCTGGCGGAGGCCCCGCCGTGAAGAGAGACGCGGCGACGGACGCCTGGGTCTCGGGTCGGACGGGCAGGGAGGGGCCCGCGAAACAGCTGACGCAGCTGACCGGAGGCGCCTGCGCGCCAGGGCAGGGCGCGTGGCTGCGGTGGCGAGGCCAGCTGCGTGCAGCAGACGTCGCGACTCCCCTTGTCCCCAAATCCCCCTCTCGTCCGGCCCGCGAGGTCCTCGCCGTCTGGCTCTCGGGCCGTGGCTCTGGCCCCGGGCGGCCGCCGGGAACGCCGCCGGGATCCCCGGGAGTGCTCCTCGGCGAGGAGCAGCTGCTGAAGAGCCTCCAAGGCTGGAGAGCCTACGGGAGCCCACGACAAGGTCTGACAGCCTCGTCCGAAAATTTCAGGCCCGCCGAGAATCCACGGAAATGTCCGAAAGGCTCGTCCGAAAGCATCAGAACCACCGAGAACCTACGAGAGAGAGAGAGAGCGAGAGAGAGAGAGAGAGAAAGCTGAATGCAGAGTACACGAGCGCAGATGCAATGGCCCGACAGGGCGTGGCAATACCGCGTCACGACCGCGCGCCAGGCTGCGGAAGAAACCGCGCTGTCTCGCCAGAGCCCCGGCAGGGCCTCCTCAACCCCTGCGGCCAGGACGGCGTGGGCAACCATGGACTCGACATGCAAGTGTTCCTGGGGCGCCCCCGCTTCCGCCTGAAGCTCCGTGCACATGGCTCGCTTGAACAATGGCGCCGGAGGGCGCAGGAAAAAGGATGCGCTCGGAATGAGGAGGAGGAGGAGGAGGAGGAAGAGGAGGAGGAGGAGGAAGAGGAGGAGGAGGAGGAGGAGGAGGAGGAGAAGAGGAGGAAGAGGAGGAGGAGGAGGAGGAGGAATTGAGGGAGGAGAAGAGGAAGAGGAGAGGGGAAGAAGAGGCGGAGGAGGAGGAGGAGGCGGAGGAGCCTCCGGGAACCTCCGAAAAACTCGAGCCCCGGCACCCTCTGCCAGACCCCCCCCCCCCCGGTCGTCCCACCGACGGGCCTCTGGCGCCCCCAGTCGCCGCGCAGGTCGTGGCTGCAGAGCGGGTAGTTCGGCAGGCACCCGACCTCGTCGCTGAACGCGGCGTCCACCTCTCTCCTCCTCCTCCTCCTCCTCCTCCTGCTGCCTCCTACACCCCTCCTCCTCCTCCTCCTCCATATCCCTCCCTCTCACCACCTCTCCTCCTCCCCCCCTCCTTTCCTCACCCCTCCTCCCTCGTCCTCCTCCTCCTCCTCCTCCTCCTCTTCCTCCTCCTCCTCCTCCTCCTCCTCCTCCTCCTCCTCGGAGCGGCGGCAGGGGACGCAGCAGAACAGGCCTCGCCGAGGTCTGTCCACCTGCGTCCCGTGCCAGAAGGAAGTCCGCGAGGGTCCGGAAGCAGCCTGGCCTGAAAAGCTCTCCGTCCGAGGCTTTTGGAGGCTCGGGAGGTCCGAGGGCTGCCAAAAGGGGGCCCCCTGTGGCCCAGGGTGCCCCCCGCTCGTCCTCCATGCCTGGAGCCGACGGGCCCTCTGGGCCTCGCGGGGGGAGCTCTGGAGCCCGCCGGCGCCTCCCTGGAACTCCTGGGGGCACCTCGGGCTGACGTCGGGCGCGTCCCTCCACGGGGGGAAGATTCAAAACTGGTCGGAAAACAGTTTGGGGACGCTGCTTCGTACTATTGCTTGACTGCTGTTGCATCTGTTGTCATGCGTTTCATTTATCGTCAAAGGTCCACCCGTAGGAGGACATGCCAGGGGCACGTCTGGCAACACCCGAGAAATGGGCACCAACACCAACACAGAGGGCTGCCTCCGACAGGGGAAGATGAACCTAGGTGTTGGTGTTGGCGGCAAATGTTTGGCCACCTAGAAGCCCGAATCTCACAACCATCAAAGAGATCGGTGTCCAATTGGTGTTGGTGCCAACCTCTAGGACTCCGAATACTAGTACTATGTGCTGATGTTGGTGCACGTCCGATACGAACACCTAGTACACAAATATTTTGGCATTACTATCGATTCCCAAGCGGTGTGGCCAGAAAGCGCCCGCCACGGAGCTTCTACTGTGAGGTTTCTGGGCCTCCGCGTCGCCATTGCGGGGTCGACGCAAGCATTATATAAGCACGGTTGGACAGTGTCAATGACAGACCGCGCGATGACCTCCAAATTCCTATCGGCCCCTCACCGCACGGTCCGCCACCGCTTGGGGCCCTGGAGTCCCCAGTCGCCCGAGATGTTCTCGGAGAACGGCCCGAGTACTGAGACCGTACGGTCACCCCGAGATCCCCATTTACTCACCACACAAGCCCTCCTCCTCCTCCTCCTCCTCCTCCTCCTCCTCCCTCCACCCTCCTCCACCTCCCTCCTCCCTCCTCCCTCCTCCCACCTCCCCTCCTCCCTCCTCCCCTCCCTCCCTCCTCCCCTCCATCCCTCCCTCCCTCCTCCCTCCTCCCCCCCCTACCTCCTCCCTCCTCCTCCTCCTCCTCCCCTCCTCCTCCTCCTCCTCCTCCTCCTCCTCCTCCTCCTCCTCCCCTCCTCCTACCTCCACCTCCCTCCTACCCGTGCCTCCTCCTCCCCTCCTCCTCCTCCTCCTCCCCTCCCCTCCTCCTCACACCTCCTACCTCCTCCTCCTCCTCTCCTCCTCCTCCTCCTCCTCCTCCTCCTCCTCCTCCTCCTCCTCCTATCCTCCTCCCTCCTCCTCCTCCTCCTCCTCCTCCTCCTCCTCTCATCCTCCCTCCTCCTCCTCCTCCTCTCCTCCTCCTCCTCCCTCCTCATCCTCCTCCTCCTCCTCCTCCTCCTCCTCCTCCTCCTCCTCCTCCTCCTCCTCCTCCTCCTCCTCCTCCTCCTCCCGCCTCCTCCTCCGCCTCCTCCTCCTCCTCCTCCCCCTCCCTCTCCGAATCTTGGGCTCTGGGCCGCCGCTCGCACCTCCCGCGACCGTGAGGGTCTCCGGGCGCCCCCGGGAGCGCTCTCGGCGAGGAGGCGCAGCCGCTGGCAGGCACCCCGAGGCTCATGCTGCTCCCATCGCACTCGAGGACCACCTCCCAGACATGACTTCTGACGAACGAGCAACACACACCCATACCCATAGGGGGGTCGTTGAGAGGAGGACTGGCCATGGGTATGGGTGCGGGTTGTCGGACCCTGGGGAACGCTCCCGTTCGAGCGGGGACCCCCATCCGACAACACGCACCCATAGCCCTCTCCGACCACCCTATGGGTATGGGTGTGTGTTGCTGGTTCGTCAACTTCGGGGTGCTCGAAGTCGTCTCTGGGACGTGGTCCTCCAGTAGGGGGCCACACGCGAACCCTACCCCTGCCCCCCACGATTTCTGAGGGGGGAGGGGGGGGTTCACTCCGTTCAGGAGCTCCCGAGCGAAGTGAACCCCGCCCACCCCTCAGAAATCGTGGGGGGCAGGGGTAGGGTTCGCATGTGGCCCCCTACTTGAGGACCACATCCCAGACATGACCTCGAGCACCCCGAAAAGCATCGCGACGGTGTCGAGGCGCGTATCGCCTCCCCAGGGCCCGACGCGCGCAGGCCCTCCAGTTTCGGCACCTCCTGAGGAGGTGCTCGAAACTCTTCCTGGCGCTCGTGGCCGAAGCAGGCCGGAACACCACAACCCGACGCAGGACCACCCGCAGGACACCGACGAAAGTCCACGCGGCGTGGCCACCGCCCCGTCTTCGGGACCCGACGCAGCGAGAGCGGTGCGGCGTCGTGAAAGGTAATCACGACCGGGCCCCCGGACCCCCCTCTTTCTGCGCCGCTCCTCGCGCCGGATTGCCCTGGGGGCCCATAAAGGCCTCCTAGACGGGGTCCGAGTAGGTGGGGTCGGAGGATCGCGCCGCACCGCCAGTACATCGGCGATGCATCGTCGATGCATCGGCAATGCATCGGCGATGCAACGGCGACGCATTGCCGACGTCGGCGATGCATCGGCGACGTCGGCGTGAAGCAGATCAGGCTCCGCATCGAGCCGCATCGCCGATGCATCGGCGATGCGGCGCGATCCTTCGACCCTTTTTGCTCCGACCCCATCTGGGAGGCCCAGAGCCCAGGAACACGAGACCGGGCGAAAAGC